TCATTAATATAAAAAAAATAAAACCCGTTCAATAGACACATGGTGTTATGATGGTGTATACTAAATATATTCAATGTCTGAATGCACTTCTGTTTGATAGTTTATGATTTTAACAAAATGTTGTAATTAACATACAATTACGTGTGCACTCAAGATGAGCAAAAAATGCCCTATTTTTAATACTAAATTATCTTTCTAAGAGAAGTAAGATGCTCACATCAATCTACCTGCTCATGCAGCTTGACCAACTTAAATTTCCTTGCCATGCATTGTGTTTTCTGCACATATAGAAAACATATTTTTCCATGAGTAGTGGTTGATTTAAAAAGTCCTCATGCAAACACCCCCACCTTTTGGCAAGGCCACCACTATTCTCACCCCCGAAATCTGGGTTAGCCTGTTTGTCCTTAACTCTTTCCAGATGTAGTTTTTTTGGGGTCTAGACGTAAAAAAATTAACTTGAGGCTCGATTTGGCTACACAGGTGGTGTACAAAATAACTTTATTATAAGCAAAACAATTACTCAAAAAGTAACATATATATGAGCATTTGCCAAAAGGTGGGATACCTGGGTGTGACAAATGAGGTCCAAAATCAACTTTATGTAATAATTCTTTAATCACCCATATTATATAGCCTAATGATTGCTCTTTCAGGCTCAGTAACTGCCAAAGCTGTATATGCAATGGTTTTGGTGTAATTCTGACTTGAATGACGGAAATAGCAAAAAGTTCGTTCATAACAATGATGACACAAATTTATGAATACTCAAAGTTCCTTTCTTCAGCTAGGCTGATGTTATATTTTGAGACATAGCAAATAACTTCCAAAAATACATAGAATTGACAATTTATAAAAATCTTTATTAATTTTTGATAAAATTACTTTTTTGTGTCATAATAGTTATGAACGAACAATAAGTGACCAAAATACTATCAATTATATCAAGTTTCATCGACTAGAATTGTCTAAAATAACACTCTGGTCTAATTATAGTCAAGTGATAAATGAAAGACCATTGTACAGCTATTTCTAAACGCAAACTGGTCTTAGGGCATATTATGCATAAATTTAAAGTTCGTTCATAACCATTATGACACACTGTTTCGTTCATAACTATTATGACAAATTTTACTTTTGGCCCCTAAAATTTACTTATATTGTTCTGTCTTTCACATAAAACGGTTTTCATTTATGAGGCTTTCCTTAAAATATTATAGATTCCTCTATATAGGGAGAATTCAAAGTTTATTTCCTGAAAAGCCCTTAGAATACCTTTAAAATGGTTCGTTCATAACAATTATGACAAACTTCAATTTTGACCTAAAAATTTACACATTTTGATCTGCCATTCATTTTTAAAAACTTTTATTAAATGAAACTCTCCTCATAATATGTATCTCTGTGCATGTTTTTAAAGTTTATTAACACTGAAAAGCCCTCAAAATATATAAAATGGACTATAAATAGTTCGTTCATAACCATTACTACAAAAGTATAATACTAATTAAAATCCACACCCATACACTTATGATAAAAATCAAAATATCAGAATGTATGCAAGGTCTATTGTGTCCTTTAGTTGGGTTAAAATTAAAAATACATCCCAAAACAACTGTAAATTACATGGAATAAGGTTTCGTTCATAACCATTATGACACACTGTTTCGTTCATAACTATTATGACAAATTTTACTTTGGGCCCAAAAAATTAACTTATTGTTCTGTCATTCACATAAAATTGTTTTAATTTATGAGACTCTCCTCAAAATAAGGTTATATGTTGGAAGAATTCAAAGTTTAATCATTGAAAAACCCTTAGAATACCTTTAATTGTTCGTTCATAACTATTATGACAAACTTCAGTTTTGACCTAAAAATTAATATTTTGACCTGTCATTTACTTTAAAATTTTATATTTAATGAAAGTTTCCTCATAATATGTATCTGTATACATGTTTTTAATGTTTATCAACTCTGGAAAGCCCTCAGAGTACAATATGTAGTTCGTTCATAACCATTACTACAAAAGTAAAATACTAATTAAAATCCAGAACCATACACTTATGATAAAAATCAAAATATCAGAACGTAAGCAAGGTCTAATACATCCTCAAGTTGGGTTAAAATTAAAAATACATCCCAAAACAACTGTAAATTACATGGAATAAGGTTTCGTTCATAACCATTATGACACACTGTCACGTTCATAACATGATGACAATCCATTATGACAAGCATATTTTTGCCTCTTCTTCGCTTCTCCTTTGAGTCATCAGCACGATACTCTTCCATGTTCATTCCACCATGTAAAAGGATGTTGTGAAACAGTGGGAAGTCCCTCACATGATATTTTGCAGAAATATCATAAAGTGTTCGTTCATAACATCATTATGACAAACCTGGATTATCTCAATCAAAGTCATATTTAAGCAAAACCATGCAAGTGAGCGGAAAATTACCCTTCTGATAGATCAATGTCAAACCAATGTTTAATACCGGTCATTCCCCAGGATGATATGTTTAACGATTTGGGTTTTCTAGACCTTGGAAAGTCTGATGATGTAATTATGACACGAGTTATGAACGAACTTATAAATTTTACTCAGCAATAACATCATTAATATAAAAAAATAAAACCCTTTTAATGGACACACGCTGTTATGATGGTGTATACAAACTATTTTCAATGTTTGAATGCACTTCTGTTTGATAGTTTAAGATTAACAATATTCTGTATTTAACATACAATTACGTGTGCACTCAGGATGAGTAAAAAATGCCCTATTTTTAGTACTATTATCTTTCTATATAGAGATATAAGATGCACACATCAATCTACTTGCTCATGCAGCTTGACCAACTTATTTCCTTGCCATATGCATAAAGCTTTCAGAAGAAAACTTATTTTACCATGAGTTGTGGTTGATTTAAAAAGTCCTTAAGCAAACACCCCCACCTTTTGGCAAAAGCTCATATATCAAATTGAAGGAAATTGAATGACGGATACATTCCAACATGAAAGACGGATTAATTTTGAACATATAAGTATGCATTAGAAGGGTTAGAAATGGCGATAGTGATGAGAAAAATAAATTTTGACAGAAAAAATTACATTCACCAAACATGTGAATGCAAATCATTATAGCTAGCTATCTTATCATATACAGGCCAAGAGCATAATCCATAAATTTCTAATTCCGCAGCTTTTTATTTAAAAGCAATATTCCAATTTTTGTTTCAGTTATGATATATATTTATACTGAGTCCAGTTACATCGTTTTGTTGATGCGCAAGACCGCAAGAACTAATTCACCCCTTTTTCCCCCAACCAACACTATGACAAACTGAAACTAGATGTTTTCATTCCTAAACCCTTTCCAAGTTTTCAATAACAATTAAAAGTTATTATAAATGATGGATCATGTTAAAACGAAACAATACTGAGGCACCCTATCACAGCCGATATATCGGCGATACATACGCAAGGGGTGTGGTCTCGCGCAGATATATCGGTGATACGTCCAGAAAGAGTTAAAAGAAACCATATTCTATAGCCTACTTAATGAACAATGAATATTAAAATATAAATCGAAGAGACTTCGGACTCGAGGACTCGAGTCCGAAGAGAGAAAAATTATATTCGGACTCTGAATTGAGTCCAGCATGACCTCCGTTCCGACTTCCAACCTTTGTTCCTAAATATTTCCAGCATGTATGAACTTTTTTTCGATTATAATGATAACAGTCGAGACGTGAGCTCTATTATCCAGTTACTAGATCAAGATCTATCTAAACTTGCCCTCCCTACATCATTTGTATGAGAACAGAACCACTAAGTTGAGATGACCTTGCCTTATAGCACAAAAGTAAGCTAATGTGATCGTCTACAAAGATGCTACGGCTATTTCACTTTTCGAATCGAGTCGAACTACACGGGTCGCCATTTTGTTTTGCCCGGATGTTCTCGCAAGATCTACTCCTCCCCTCTCTCTCTCTCTCTTTCTAAATACTGTTTTCGGTGTTGACGATCAAATCGATCAAAACAAAGTTTTTAAGAAATGATGTTAAAACACAAAAGTAAATTAATTTGGTCGTCCATAAAGATGCTACGGTTATTTAACTTTTTGAATCGAGCCAAACTACACGGGTCACCATTTTGTTTTGCCCGGAAGTTCTCGCGTTACTCCTAGACTCTCTCCACTGCCCACAGGACAGACAAAGTCAAAATAGCACGCTTTTAGGCTAACAGTAATAACACAATAGAGCTGGAATGTTTGTTCACGGCACAGAATTCTACAATTCTGTTATGACAGTGTCAGTGTAGAATTCTGGGCGATTGTCAAGATTTCCGCGTTTAATTCCCATGTGCGTTTTTCATAGCCTCAGGTATGTTTCGCTTTGGTCCCTAACCCTAACCCTAACCCTGGTCAGGGTTAGGGTTAGGGTCAGGGTTAGGGTTAGGGTTATGGTTAGGGTCAGGGTTAGGGTTAGGGTTAGGGACCAAAGCGAAACATACCTGAGGCTATGAAAGACGCACATCGGAATTAAACGCGGAAATCTTGACAATCGCCGAATTCTGTGGTTCAGGGTGAACGCTACACTGGTTGGCCTAGGCTATAACGGTGAACGCACACTGGGTGAGAATAGCCAAAAGGCTCGCCTATGCTATTCTCACCCGGGGTGAGAATAGAGGGGGCCAGCCATAGAAGTAAAGGCAAAGGAGCACAAATTAGTAACTAAGGGGAAGAGAAGATCATAACGTAATAGATCCAGATCTAGATTCTAGATCTAGAATCTAAATGATGATGAGGCTACACAAAGACAGAGATAAAAAAGTGCTAGATTAGAGTCCCTACTAAATCTGATATTCATCACCACAGTTTTGGCCCCAGACAGTGTACTGGAGCAAATGAGGTCTTAAATCTAGATATCTAGATCTAGATCTAGTGCTTTAGAAAGAATAACGACTCAAGTGTTTGAAAGAACAAAGGCAAAACCTGTGACATTCGTTTGTGGTTGTCCCAACTGACGCAAGCGTACGCACAACAACAACTCTTTCGGCCTCAACCTACATCTGCTGGGTCTGGACAATCAAAATGGAAGCTTGAACTGATCAAAAACTCTTAGTCTAAAAGACAAAATACTTACATAAAAAGCAAGGCAATGACTTGGACTGGGGGATTACGACAAAGGGTGGCTGAGATTAGAAGTATTTTTTTGATAGCACTCAAACTCCGATGTTATACAATCAAGTCACCGACTTAACACGATCACAACCACACCAACTGATATGATGACAAAACTTGCTTGACCGTGGCCCGTGATAAAAATAGCTTGATGTCAAGGTTGCATAAAGGAGATAGCAATGTTTTCTTTATCAATTCAAACTGATTCAGGTTTAAAGATATTTTCTATCAAAATAAAATAAAATGCATAATTTTAAACCTCTAAGGAGTATATATTTTGTTGTATCATAAAGACCCCAATTTTCTTAGATAGTTTGGTTTGAATCAAACCAATTATATTACCAACTACTCCCTTGTGGTCGACAGTGTCTTCCTTTTCCGGTACAAAATGTAAACATGCTGTTCGCGAAGTCTCGAGACTCGAGGATGAACTCTAATGTTGTTGCATTCTGACACAGGCACAAGTATAAATTTCTAGCTGTCCATTCAATTTATAACCTGTATTAATTGGGAAGGACTTCCGTAACGAGCGACCACCCCATCAAACACAATAAAGAAGATGCCTAGATCTAGACCTAACCCTGCCCCTAACCCTAACCCTACCCCTACCCCTAGGCCCTAGGCCTAACCCTACCCTTACCCCTCTACCCCTACCCCTACCCCAAGCCCTCAATTCTGCTCCGTCTCATAGTGGTCGCTCGTTACGGAAGTCCTAAGTTATTTGGGGGGAGGTCTAGGTGCTAGTTCTCTAGAATTAGATATTAGAATCTATTGCCCGACTATGACTATACTATTGACAATTGAATTGGCATTGGTGGGGATAATTTCATCGTGAGGTTAGATGTAGGCAGGCAAGATTTAGATCTAGATCTAGACCTAGACCTGAGTCCTAGAATCTAGATCTAGATCTATGTCTTAGCCTTGAACTGTCTTGAGAGACAATATAAGATGGCCACCTCTATTCTCACCCGGGATGAGAATAGTGCAGGCTAGTCTTTTGGCAAAAGTTTGGCTATTCTCACCCGCTGCGCGTTCACTGTTATAGCCTAGATCTAGGCCAACAAATTTTGCGTTCACCCTAAACCACAGAATTCTACACTGTGATAACAGAAAAATTGTAGAATTCTGTGCCGTGTACAAACGTTCCATTACAACTGTAGCCTACTAAAAGCGTACAATTTTGTATGTGGGCAGTGGAGAGAGAGAGAGAAAGAGACAGAGAGAGGAGTAGCGTGAGAACTTCCGGTCAAAACAAAATGGCGACCCGCGTAGTTCTGCTCGATTCGAAAAGTTAAATAGCCGTAGCATCTTTGTAGACAACCAAATTAATTTACTTTTGTGTTTTAACATCATTTTTTAACTTTGTTTTGGTCAATTTGATCGTCCACACCGATAGACAGTATTCAGAAAGAGACAGAGAGAGAGAGAGAGAGGGGAGGAGTAGATCTTGCGAGAACTTCCGGGCAAAACAAAATGGCGACCCGCGTAGTTCGGCTCGATTCGAACAGTGAAATAGCCATAGCATCTTTGAAGACGATCAAATTAGCTTACTTTTGTGCTATAACGTAATTTTTTCTTGGCTTTTATCAATTTGATCATCCACACCGATAGACAGTATTCCAAAATGAGGAAAAGCAGGTCTTGTTTCGCACCGGGTGAGAATAGCCTACGCTGGCAAGTCTCACCCGGGGTGAGAGGTAGATCGTTTTTCTATTCTCACCCCGGATGAGAATAGCCACTTCCATATAAGATAATAGATCTAGAATCTACCTCGTCTCTGTCATCAAGGATAGATCTTATCTAGATCTAGAGCTAGATTAGATCTAGATCTAGAAAAGTAAGCCCCCTCTGCCTCTATTCTCGTGAGAATAGCGCAGGCGAGCCTTTTATTCACAGGGATAGTGGTGATCGGCCAACCAGTGTAGTGTTCACGTAACAAATTCCAGCGCTCTTCTTGTGTTGGAAGTATTGAACACGTGCAATTTTGTCTGTGGGCAGTGAGAGAGTGAGAGGGGGGGGGGGAGAGAAAGAGAGAGTAGAGAGAGAGGAGTAGCCCGAGAACATCCGGGCAAAACAAAATGGCGCCCAGCGTAGTTCGGCTTGACCAGAAAAGTTAATGAAGTGACTATTTCACCGAATGTTCGGAGAAATAGTGCTGATCTTTATTTCTCCAAACGGTTTCCGGTCTCGTGATTTTTTGCCTATTTATTGCGAGAGTTCGGCGCCAACTTTCATTCTGCCTCTGGTCTGGGAAGGAACACCGCATGGCAAGCCCGCCTACATACAACCTTCAGTAGCACCCACCACCATCATGCACATGTACACACACAAACTTATACACACACTAACTAAACATGATCAGTGGGCAACTTTTGAACGTATGACGAGCTGAGTTGTGGATGGAGAGACAGTGTGAGTGACAGACCGGGTGAAAGGAAGAATTTACGAGTGTATCCACAGGCGACAGCAACTACAAGACGACGACACTGACCCCCCTGGCCTGGTCCACAGCTCACGAACGAAAGGAATGTGGCTAAGGCAGTGTTTTGCCTATATTATTGTCCATGGTTCGCAGGGTGCAAGGGAATGAGTGAGATTTTCGTTGTGTGTGCCTGGGTGGAGGGGGTGGGGTGTGAAAGTCATGAGGACGGGGATGGGCCGCGGGAGAAAACACGGGAATTGAATGAGTGAAAGAGAGGAATGACTCATGAACACTGGAGTTAATGGATCCTGTGTTTCTATTTTTGTATACTTTGAACTGTTACTGAATAAAGGCTGAAATAAAGCCCGAAAAACACACACACTCCTCACTCTCCACTTACACACTTACTACCACAGGCAGACACACTCACACACACACATGCATAGACACACACACACGCACACAGGAGCAAATTTTTGGATCTATATTCTATTTCAATTTTCAAGAGCTAGTCTAGAGATTTTTAGATGAGTGTAAAAACGTGAAAAAGAAAGGTTTCACAACAGAATTAAATCAAAATTAGTCGAACTGCCCGTAAACTACTACAAAAATTAACAAATAAGGGTGTGTGTCAACCTGTTTGAAGAAAATTGCCTGTTTTAACCCTGAAAGTGCGTAATTTTTTTTTTAAAGTACAGAATATTACATGTAAATTATGGAATCACACACATGGGGCCTGCCAGTGTCAGAACATGTAATTAAAAAAATGTAATCGGTTTTGGTGGAACGTACGCTCTAACTCTAACATAAAACATTTAAATCTATATATATGTATATATATATATTTAGAATCTAATGAAGGTAGGAACATCAAATTAAATGACGTTACACTATGCAACATCCCCCCCCCCCCCTTTCCCCAACAAAAAAAAATTGATAGAAAAACAACACATCAGAACAATAACAAGAAAAAAAATTAGAGTCTACACACTAATAAAATAAAACACCACAAAGAGTCAAAGAGGGAAAAATAAAAGTAACTGTAACGTATTCAACAAATCAACGTGGTGACAACAAGTGAGAAAGAGCCTAAGTGAAGCTAAGTGAACTTTCTTTCAAAAGTAAAGAGGTTCGGTTTCTTTCTTTTTTTCTTTTTTAAAAAAATTTGACTTCTATTCCCCGACCAAAAAATGCCAAAAAATCGAGCCACGATTGATTCGTCGCGGCCACGACAAACGCAGAAGCTAGTTCTATGTGTTGTTATCAATAACCCTCCGTAGATCTAGATCTAGACAGCAGTAGGACAGCACACGAGTGAACACAACACTTTAACTCTTATCCTGCCGCGACAAACGCAGAAGCTAGTTCTATGTGTCGTTATCAATAACCCTCCGTAGAGATCTAGATCTAGACAGCACACGAGTGAACACAACACATTAAGTTTAAGAGCAGCACCCTTCATAGGCAACACGTCATATCTGTAGCGAAAAACTGTTTGGAACTGTAGCATTTCTTTATATAGATATTTACTGCGGACATTTTCTGGACCGATTGAACCATATTGTATACGAACAATCTTTGGTAGGCCTATACTCTATAATATCCGAAATTTGCGGGAAAGGATGTGATTTCAGAGTGTTCGGAGAAATAGTGCCTAGCTTTATGTTCCCGAACGTTCGGAGAAATAGTGCCTAGCTTTATGTTCCCGAACGTTCGGAGAAATAGTGCCTAGCTTTATGTTCCCGAACGTTCGGAGAAATAGTGCCGGCCAAAAGTTAATTCCTGCTATAGTTTCCGTGTTGCATTTTTCCTTGGGAAGTGATTATTCACACCGGGTGTGCGCATAAGAATTCATTTTATTCACACCGGGTGTGCAAATAAATAATTCTATTCGCACAAGGTCTAGCCTATGCCATGTTGATTTTGGACCTTGTTTGTCACTCCCGGGTGTCCCACCTTTTGGCAAAGGCTTTAGAATTAGGTAGCCTAGTGTCGATTGCCACCGTGTGACACGGTGGCAATTGACAAAAATTGACTTTTTGTCTATTGCCACCGAGTAAATTGGAGCTCTTTTGCGTTGGTGGGTAGATCTAGCTTATTGTGCTTGAGTGCTCAGTGTTGTGCATTTGCCTCTCTGTCCCTCTGTGTGTGTGTGTGTGTCTTTTCCTGACCCCCGTCCCCCGATTTATGTTCCCCGATATAACGTGAATTTCTGCTTGAGTTTGTGTGCGTTTGTGACCTTCTACTTCTAGAATTGCCTGTGTTGGTTCTTCACCAAAGTGTAGGCTAAGGCTAGCCTAGATCTAGGCCTACGTCTCATTGAAAACACGCGAAGTTGGTACCGTAGCTCTAGACTAGATGCTCGTCCAATGAAATTAGTTGAGAACAAATTGACCCATTAGACACACGTTTGTATAATGCTAAAGATAGTGTTGTTTTCAGACTTGACACCACTTCACTTGGTAGCAATTGACAAAAAGTCAATTTTTGTCAATGCAATTGACGCTACCTTAGAATTACATGTAAAAACAACTGTACACTAGAAGTATAACATACTTGTTTCAGTTTTAGGGTTAAAGCATGCACTCATCTCTCTCTCTCTCTCTCTCTCTCTCTCTCTCTCTCTCTCTCTCTCTCAAAAGGTACAAGGAAAACAAAAAACGAAAAAAAGAGAGATTTGAGTAGTCATTTTCTTTGACACAACGCAACTTGAATTCCAATTTGAGTGGGTTTTTTTCGTAGGCCTATCGCATTGCACAATTAGAATTTGATCTATCCCTACCAAAGTTAGCACCAAGATTGTTCACTCTGCCCGAAAAAGTGTTTGCCGAAGTCTGCACTTTGCTTCAGATGGCGCTGGAGTCTTTGTTTTGAAGCTCTCTTTCTTTTCTCCAGCAGAAGAATAGGATAAACACAGTCTGTTAATTTCACTATTATTGTTTTTCACACAAGTAGATCTAGGGTAACTCTGTTCGCAAAGTCCACTTTTTTTCGAAGAGGGCGCCACCAAATTTTGAGGACACTTTTTTAATTGGCTCAAAGAGAGGACGAGTGGACTATCTTGTTGTACATGATCTTTGTCCCTATGTGATGAGGGAAAATAATGAGGAAATGCTAGGCCCAATTAATTTCCATCCTTCTTTTGAAATGCCCTGTGCCAATAATATTTTGTAGCATTCACACACCCTGTGCGAATACATTATAATTTCATGATAGTATTCACCCACCCTGTGCGAATAAAATTTTATAGTATTCACCACAGTATTCACACACCCTGTGCGAATAAAATTTCATAGTATTCACACAGTATTCACACACCCTTTGCGAATAAAATTTTATAGTATTCGCACAAGGTGTGCGAATACCATTCCATAATATTCTCACACACCCTTTGCGAAGAACTTACAGCCTTTTCCTTGATGATGACTGTTTGTAGATAGATAATTTTCACTTGTTTATTTCCCTAGTGGGTGGTTGGAGGGCACCACTGGTAGGTCTTACTTCTTTACTTTCCCAGTTTTTTCTGTATGTCTGTCTTAATTTTTCAGCACTATATTACCATTATTGTGTCGATATATGCTTCTCTTTACTCAAATAAACATTTCCCTGACTTCTTTGTAAATATTCATATGTTTTAAGCTAATGATGGAAAAACATTCTGCATACTGAGGATTTTTCTAGTCTGTATTTTTTATGGGAGGCCTTATCAGCTAAGATCCTCGTGCTCGGGATCTTAGGCGAAGGGGATCTTGGCCAACGCACCAAGGGAAGAATCTACTATTGTGACCCATGTTAACTCTTTCACTATCGCGAACTGTGTTTCACGGTTGGTGTTACTCCCAACAATGGGCAGTGAACCGTGTACAGCTCTCCACTTCCTGCTTCCGTAACTTGTCAGATGTTTACCGCAACTCTCGGCAATAAGTTGTATTAGAAACTGCCAGATTGCGCATGTCGTACACTCGACCATTGTCTACCTGTGCCGTTCGGTCGGCAATATTTTTTCACATGCATCGGCTGAAATCTGTCTACTCACGATAATCTTCCTCCTTCCTTTCATTCATTCTTTCTTTCTATTTATCTTCGGGTTTTTGCTGTGGCTAGAAAATCTGTGCATTTAATCCATTTATCTAGAAAACAAAATTGTGAATGTAGAAAGAAAATCGGTATCAAAGCAAAACATTCTAAAAGCTGTCTTGGTCTAGAGAATTGGTCAGTACCAAATGAGGATTCTACGCAGGGGGGGGGGGGGGGGGGGGGGGGGTTCGGGAATTATTACCCTGGACTGGAATCTAAAAAAAAAAATCGCTGAGACCCGAGAAAATGCACAGTCCTCAAAACCAAATCTGAAAAGGCTACTGAGTTCACATTTTACCGGTTGCGTTTGTGATATTATGTTTGGCTTTCCCCAGTCCGAGAGTAGGCTACGTTTCACGTGAATAAGCGGCTATGACGGCGTGCGAAAGTGTAGTTGTAATACTGAGACTCCATCGGGAAAAGCAAAATTTACTTTTTCTTTCGTTACCGCTCAGAATTCTCCAATGATAGTTTGTTAAAAAAACAAAAAACCACGCCTTATTTCATACACACTGTTCATCTTAACTTGTGCTCACCAAAACACCCCCTTCCCCTCCCTACATATATAAACACACACGAGAGCATGCGCACGTGCACCCGCACACACACACACACACACACACACACACACACACACACACACACACACACATGTGCATGCACAAACAAGTTTTCAAAACAAAATTACCCAATATCACGGAAAGTAAGTGTGTTTGATGGGGCAACGGTCATCTTTTTTTTTCTTTCTTTGTCTTTTTACTACCAGAAATGGGAACTTTGAGGTAGGCAGCCCTGTATGAGGCCCAGTCCAGGTGAGGAAAACCCCCTGGTAGTGAAAAAGTTAAGGCCTGCAACTGGTAAAATGGTCTCCCTCTTCACTCAATGAACTGACGTGACCCTTGGGTGGTTTTGAGCAAAGAGTGGTCAACTTTGATGACGAATCACAGTGGCATGAAGCATGCCATTTTGATTTTCGCTTATTATCCTATTGTGAGTCTCACAATCTACCCTTGTCTAGTTGCCCATCCCCTTTACCGGTCCAAAATTTATAGCTTCCCATCTCTCACACCATTATGTTGTGACCACACCAATTAAAATTCAGTCTGTCTCGCAAATTCTGGAGTAGAGACGACTGCTGCAATGATCAGGGAAGAGTTCACTGTTTGATGTGGTCCCGACTGGAGCGAAGTGATGTAAGTTTAGATGGAGAGCTGAGATACGAGTCCTGTGTTTGGGGGAAAAATGTGTCGGTCAGTTTACACCTCGATGTGAGTCCGTCGGGCCAAACATTGTACTGTTTCATCAAGTTTTATAACACTATGTGATCCCATTCCTGAGAGTGGCTTATCTTTAATGGGACGGGCAGTTAAATGGTCTGAACTTTCCAATTTTGGTTCATCGGCTGTGCCCATCCGCGTTTTGTTCCGTAAATTATGATCTGAAAAGCAGGATCTCAGGGAGATGACTTTCGTATTATAACAAAAAATTATGTTTTCTTAAAACAGTGGGATATTAAGCGAACCGGGATCGTAAGCAGTGAGATCATAGGCAGTGACTACTGTGTCTTGATGGTGTCATGCTGTGATCCTGAAAAATATATGAATATTATGAATAAAACTCTGATATTTTCTTTTCTTTTCACAGAGACCCTAGTGTGAGTTGATCAGGAGCCTCATAATGGGCGGGAGAGGCAGAGGCCGTGGTCGTGGGCTGTCCATCAACATTGAAGCCCTCGGCCTGGGGCGTGGGGATGTCTTACCACCTGTTGCTCACCCACCCCCTCTGTTTCCTGTGAGTTGACAAAACAAAAAATCACATTTTTCCTTTCTGAAAAAAAAAATTGAGTAATCAAAAATTTTTATTTTTTTTAAATTGCCGATGACAGGAAATAGCTCTTGATTTGTAAATTTATTTCACTTTTTTAGGTCTATAGTCGAGTCAAGCACAGCTATCTTGAGCATGTTGGGGGTTGATAAATGTGTGAAATACCCCTAAAATTAGAGTAAACCATGGTAACGAAAAGTTAGAGAACAACTGAAGAAAGTTATGGGAGTAACTGACAGTATAATGGGCAGGAAACGTGTTTTTAGTTTTAGTAGTTTTTACGGCCATTGCAACTGCATAAGGTCATATGAGGGCCAAGGGGTGGATGTCAACAGAGAAGTCCATTATACTGGGAATCAGGCTTACTCTGCTCACCTCTCTAGCTTCAACAGCACAAAGTCTGCTTCGACTGTCGAGGCACCCCGGAAATAGCGGGTCACAAGAGTGTGACAAACATACAAAAGAATTAGAGGAAAATGAAGATAGTAAGGATTAGGAAAGAAAAAGCAGCTGTTCCTCGTTGCAGTCCAGACACTGTTATGAGCATGACATTGATGAATCAGCCCATTTACAATTCTACTGAGCGTTCTACTGAACATGTTACATGTCCCCCCTTTGGGAATGGCTTTTAGACACTTCAGTCAGTAGCACCACCCCGAGTAAAAAAAAATTCTCTTACATCAGATCACGGTCATGATGATGTCACCAACACTGGTCAGAGCACGCCACCTACCCCTCTTGTGTATTCACTTCACGATCCCTACCTTCTCCTTCAAACAACCATACACACTTACACATGTACACAAAAACAAGCCTATTCCACACACTTTACGGTACAGCCCAATGCTGCTCCACACTGTTTGTCTTTGGTCACACCCCGCCACTAAGCACCCACCCTCACATGACAACATTCAAGGAAGCTCTAGTGTTTTATGCATGCTACAGGTAATGTGGGAGGACGCGTCTTGATACCTTTAGTGTGCTCACAGTGATGACCGGTGTGTTTATTTTCCATTTTGCATGCAGAGCAATTTGATTGTGAGGCTAGTGTGAAGAAATATTTGACCAGGCTTATTGAGATAACTTACTTGTCTTACTTGTCCACTGTGTTGGGGTCACTGCAGTCGGAACATGTCCACAATCTTATTGAGATAACTGTTCATCAGCACATTCATGTCTTCAAGAATGCAGTGCTGCCAATGCAAAGAAAATACAGTGGTTTAGTTGGGGAATAGTATATTGTTTGAGTTTGAGCTATCTGTGATTTTGAATTTTGTGCGTTTGAATTATCTCTGCATAACTGTACAGTACATTGTAACTAATCTGTGTCTGAAATGTATGATCATTGCATTGTGTGTTTTATTGTTATTTTAGACTGCTCTCTGCTCTTCTGTCTGTAATTTCCATGAAACATTTATGCTCCTCTTTTTTTCAGCCTCTTCCTTTCAAGCCAGTTTCGCTGCCTCAAAGTGAAGAAGTGGAGTACATGTTAGCCCTTAAACAGGAATTGACCGAGTCCTTCCGCAAGTCTCCATTTCACATCAAAGCTCAAAACAAGAGCAAAGACATTGATAGATACTCTGATAAGTATCAGGTTGGAATTGCTGATTCTGCAAGTGCGCTTAATCCTGGTAGGTTTGTTGTGTGAGAAATTGAATGTTGCCCTGAATTTGATGAATGGCAGGGCTATTTTAGAATAACCTCAATAACATATGGGTAAATTGATTTGCAACATTTACTTTTGAGTACTTTTAAGACTTGAGGTCTCATTTGTCCATTTGTTAGTACACATGAGAAAGCAGTACTGTAGTTCAGGTCAAAGAAAAAAGAAATGATCTACACTGAAGGTGGACTGAGGAAAAAGTGTGGGGTTGGACAGACATATCTCTAGTAATTGTTGATGTGATAGAAAAGAGATGATGGGGTGGTGTAAAAAATTTTCGTACATATGAATACTTTTGCTGTCATTTTCATGCTCAAGTTGCTTGATGCTTTGAGAAGTAAAGATTTGAAGAATAGGGTTTGTTTACTCTATTTTGTAAGTAATAATCAGTTCAGCTGAATATAGTTATTATCTTATTTTGTAAAGTTTTGGTACCTGTTCTAAGATTTATCTTCTGCATATATAAATTGAAAATTTATCAATTTTATTGAGATTGTTCATTGTAATATCGGAGACTGCTTACCACAAAGTTGTTTGAAATGAAATTCCTTGATTCTAAGCATTGCAACTTTCCTTTTTAAAACAAAATGTTCTTAACACGAACAAATTCTCTGGTTTGTTGTGTTTGTGTTATAGGGGTTTCACAATATTTGGCTGTGCAAAAAATGCACTATGTCCTACTATTGTGTCTTTGGTTATCTTTGGCTATTTTCCACCCTTTAAAGAATTTTTGTTCCTTTCCTTTGCATGTATTTAACACCCTGTAAATAAAGTACCTGCCCTCATGTTTGGAGGAAAGGAATGGAGGAAAGGCAACTGAAATGATACACAACATCAATATCAAATATCTCTGGCCATTTTGCCAGTCAGTTCTGCTCATATACATTACTTTATCGTGAAATTGCCTTCACATGTTCTTATGACCAACCACACCTATTGTGATCTTTTTAATGACATTCTTCACCTGATTAAAAAATGTGTCCTCTTACTTTTTTGCTCATGATTGACCTCTTTATAAATTCACATATATTCATATTTCTTCACAGACTGGTCTCGATTGCCAGCAGAACTTCGAGAGAAGCCAAAGAGGAAGAGAACAGCCACAGGGATCAGGCCCAATCTGAAGACTGCTCGTCGAGTTAAAGACAGTGAAGTTGCCTCTCTATTGGAGGTGATTTTGAGAAGAATTAATGACATGAGATTGATGGTCACACTTTTCTTATTCACGTGATTTGTAATTTAGCAGTAAATCTTTTCCTTTTTTCATTGAGCGGGCTGTATTAAATTATTTCAGTTAGTATTTTGCTGGATTACCTTGAAGGCAAACATGCCTCAAAATCATCAGCTCCAGGGAGACTATATCTGTAAAGGCGTGGCCTTTTGAAGATTTGGAGGCACTCTGGGAACATTATTTTTTAAAGATATAGTATTGAGGGGGGGTCTGGTGAGCTAAAAAAAAATTCATTCACTGACCTAAATAAATGAATTTAGCATAGTAAGATCTAATGGCAAGGTGGGAAATGATTTAGGGTGTTATTCGTGACATATATCACATATTGCCGTGGTGATGGCGGACGTCTTGAGAATAAACATAACTCTTAAATTCCTCAAATCTCAAACACAAATCAAGATATTCTACTTTGTAAGATAGAAATGAAAAGGCAGGACCTATATTGAGGGAATAGGGTGACTATTTTTTTTTTCATTTGATTGTTTTCATGGATGTAGCATAACTTTGAATTTCATGGTGTAAAAAAAGTGTTGAAAATACACCCCCAGTCTGATATAAATGCTCATTCCTCCTGTCATATACAAAGAAAGACCTAAATAACTAGCTCATTACCTAGAAATATGGATAATCTATCACTGTGTCAAATTTCAAGTCTCTAGGGCAGTAAATAAGCAAGATTTTAGGATTTGCATGGCGTGCTGTCCATGAAAGACATAGTTCTGAGAAAATGACCATTAAAGTAAAAAATGACTTGCTGTGATACTGTTAGTAGCCCTATGAAACAAAATTTCACATACAGCATGCATATCTCAGCAAAATGATATACCGGATTTGATAACTAGACACATTCAGTTATTTTCTTGTGCATTGAATATTAGCTGCCTCTTGTAAAGATAGCTGTTGTTTTTGTTTCTTTTTTCCATGTGCACAACAGTGGAGTCTGCTTAAACCAGACATGGTTAACAGAAAACAGCGGTTATCCGAAAGATAATAAAATCAATGATTTTTTTATTCTCTACTTGAGCAACCTCTTTAAGCTGAAAACGATATTTTGACCCAATTTTCAGCTTAAGTCCCACCCGACTGCCCACTGAACTAAACATGTATTCCTTTCCGAAATTTCCCAATTATTCTTTACATTCAAATTTCTGGGGTTAAAAAAATAGAGAACTTTATTTGATTGAATTGTTTTTATCTGGGAAGACTTCAAGTCAAGTTCAATGTTTCCTACCAGCGTGTGTTCTGAATTACTTTCTAATTGGTGACCCAAAATCCCTGCAAGTACAGTTGAACCTTATCCAAGATGGAAACCTGTCATGAATGAATTTTCTTGCTCCAGTCTTGAAAAATTCCTCTATAACTTAATGCATCTTTATAAGACGTAAACTTTTACAACCTGAAAGCGAACAGAGACATTCCTGTCAAATGTAAAATGTTAGTCCGCTCAGCCCTGATTTGAAACAAAACTGCCTACCAAGTTTTGTTCCTGTAATTTTTATGCCATGCTGCTAGGCAAGGAAAGTAAAATGTTTATTCCGCTCAGCCCTGATTTGAAACAAAACTGCCAGTCACGTTTTGTTCCACTGGCTGTGACTATTTTGCCACACTGCCAGGCGAGGAAGTTGGGGATGTATCTGTTACCCTACTTTTGTGAGACCTGAGGGATACAGATGGTCAGAGTGGTGTGTATGTATGAAATCTGACCACTGCTTGTATACAAAGTACTCAAGTGGCACGCTAGCACAGAAACTTTACCGGGTAGTCGGAGGGTATGAAATTTGATCACTATTTGTACGTCCAGCTGAGAAAAAAGTTCCCTGAATTGTTGTTACATATTACTGATGCTGGTCATGGTTTTCTTTTTTACTTTTTACAACCTGTTGCAAGCAAGGAAAAGACTTGTACCTGTTCTTAAAACTGATTTGATTGAAGTTGTTTGTGCTTTTTGCATCAATGGGTGGGACAAATGGTGGAAGCAAGGAAGACATTCAATCATTTTTTACCCCAGCATAAATCTAATATTTCTTAATGGATAGAAAATGTAATGCCAAAGGGATGTACATATCACAAAGGTGTTCGCTCCGCAACAGATGCAGTGAACGTGGAATCCAGTGAATTTGTCAGCTGGGATTTCGGGGATTCTTCCTTTTATTTCTGTGACAAGTTCTTATATTTATGAACGTTTTTGTTAATGGTTCTATGCGGATGTTCATCTTAACAGTGTCCTCGTGTAATCATAATCAACTGTTCAATTTGACAAGCGAGAGGTCTTTCCTTTCATGGATGCTATTGTGAACGTGTGGAAATGTCTTAGTCTAATGGTAATGCTTACAGCTGAACAAGTTGTATGAGGCAAACATTCAGTTTAACGGCGATCATACTGGTCTGTCTTTGTCTATTATTGTGCTTCAAAGTAAACTGAATTGTATCTGATAGGTTGCAATGTTTCGTCGTTAACCATTGTAAGGTTATAAGGGACTGCAAATGGTTTCTTCTTGTATGATTGTGTTTAACATGATCTGTCAAAATTAAAAACGTTGTCTATTTGACTTTGTCTATGTTTCACAGAAGCTAGAAAAGAATGATGTGCCAGAGAATGTTGAGGATGCTGATGCAGATGATGATGAAGAAACTGAAAAGAAGAAAAAGAAAGATGAGGAAGTGGAGGAGGAGGATGATGAAGAGTACGATGATGAAGATTTAGAGGAAGTAAGTAGAATTTATGATGATATCAGAACTGACTGTCCAATGACTTTGTTATTGATCTGATGATTTAAAAAAATGTAAAATAGATTGTCAGTAAATTTTTGCGCACTGTATTGTAATAAGGGAGTGCTTATTTGGGCCACATATGGCCTAAATAAGGTAAGGGAGGGGGGTTTAGCTTATATAGGCCACAGGTGGCCTAAATAAGGTAAGGGAGGGGGGTTTAGCTTATTTAGGCCACACATGCTCAAACTACCAGGGGACACCCTTTTAAGGCAACTGAGTTCGTTCCACTTTCATAATGGTGCACCTTTCTCATTTAGTACAGTTTTGTCTCAGTGTACAACTTATATATATCATAATGAATATTGTAAGAACAAAGCATGATACGCAAAGTTTTGCTCAATCTCAATGGTTTGAATGAGGGCCAGATTTTTCCTTCATGGAGGGGCAAAATCTAGGCTACCATTTTGGCACACTTTGGTCAAGTAAAAAGGTCAAATCCTCCGAATGGACTTCCGGGTTAAATTTGGGGTATAAAAAGTGTGTACACAACGTGGCTGAGTCAAAGTTACACTATCTTTGCCTGGGTGGCACTCTCTCGTACTGTCTCGTAGTAGTACATCTCTCGTACTGTCTAGTAGTAGTAGCCTACATGTAGATGTAGTAGTAGTAGTAGTAGTAGTAGCAAAGATCGAGAAGAATCTTTGGTAGTAGATTCTATCTAGTAGGCAGTTTAGTGAACGTGCACGCGGCAGGGCGAATCGGCCTCGATAAGCCCGTAGACCTTTGTGATCGGCCACGAAGCCTTGTGTTTTGATGGGTCTAAACAATTTAGTGTTAATCGCACTGCCACATCCGACAGGCCTTTATCTTTTTAAAAGGAAAAGAAATGGTCATCAAAATGGTTGAATTTGCGTGAAAATCGATTCGGTAGAACTGTAACTATTAAAATTTGCTTCTGAAAACAAGTTACAAGGCCATTTTTATAACTCGATGAGATAAAAACTACTGGCTGTATTATTCTGTATAAATTATGAAACTTCAGGACGTATTATTATTTTCCAACATCTTTTGCCGCCTTAGCTGTAGAGGTTGAAGTTTTCACAACACTAATAGATCTAGTAATAGGGCTTTCCGTAAAAAATGCATAGATCTACAAAAGCCGAACCACCGAATCGACCGGTCAGCGACTCGGGCACCCCGCTCTCCCCTGCACACTGTGATAACATGTTGCTTCGGTATAATTATTCAACTATTAATACGTGCTGCTATGGCAATTGGGATGTACTGACTGACAAAGCGATTCACAGTTTTGTTTTTATTTTACCATATATTTGACTTTAATAGTGCAGGTGATAGCTAGATCTAGATCTAGATTCCCTGTCTAGAATCAGTAGTAGCAGACAAATGTTAGAAGCAGCCAGAGAGCCTACAACTGCTAGATCTAGATCTAACTCATTGCTATGCCTTTGGGCTTTGGAATTGAAATAAAACGAATTGCACAGTTCTAGTTAATTTTACATTCAGCAACTATCTGTATTTCCAGAATTAATGATAACAAATCTCACCATAACAATCACTTTTACTTTTATTAGAATAATTAGATCAACTTTTTTTTCTAAAATCTGTTTTGCGCAAACTTAAGACTTTCTCTACGTGTAGAGCACAGAATTTACATTGTAAGCCTCTGCTCAGTCTTTTATTTTTAAGTATATACTTAATAAAATACGTATAGATATAGATCTATATACTCATTTTATGTTATTTTCTGGATATTGTTAAAAACGGGGTCTACCTAGCAAAATACTAGGTTTTAGGACAGGTGGACCCCGGGGTCACCGTAGTGAAATACATGTAAGTAGATTTATTTAAAGATTAGTAGACCCCGGGGTCACCGTAGTGAAATAAGTAGGTTTAATTTTAAAAGGATTGGTGGACCCCGGAGTCACCATAGCCGTAGAGGAATAAGAAGGTTTAATTAAGAATTGGTGGACCCCCGGGACACCGTGATTAAACCTACTTATTTTACTACGGTGACCGCATGGTCCACCTATTCTAAAACCTAACTAGTATTAAATTTCGTTAGGTAGACCCTGGGGTCCACCTTAAACCTAAACCTTCCTATTTCACTACGTTGACTCCTGGGTCCACCAATCCTTAAAATTAAACCTAGATCTACATGTACTTATTTCACTACGTTGACCCCAGGGTCCACCAAACCTTAATTAAACCTAGATCTACTTATAATTTCACTACGTTGACCCAGGGGTCCACCAATCCTTATTAATTTAAACCTAGATCTACTTATAATTTCACTACGTTGACCACGGGCTCCGCCAGTCTTACAATAAAATAAACTGAGATCTACTTATTTCACTATGTTGACCCCGGGGTCCACCGATCCTTAGTCAAACCTAGATCTACTTATTTCACTACGCTGATTCCAGGGTTCACATCCTAAAACAGCATTTTGTTAGGTAGACCCCGCGGTCCACCTATCCTTTTGGGGCTAGATAGACCCCGTGGTCCGCCTATCCACTTCCTTGATAATAACTGGAAAACATGCCAGTTGTCATGAATAGTGAAGAAAAATGTGAAAAAAAAAGATAACGAGGTAGACTATAATTTGTCAAAAAAATTGCAAGTGCAAGTGAAAATCATAAGATAATTTTGTTATTTTCTGGTGATCTTTTCACGGTTTATAAAATGTTCCAGTGGGCTTACTACTAGATCTATGTCTCTGAAGAACATTTTGCTTGATTTTATTAGCTTTTTTCATGTACTTGAAAGCATAGAATAAAATAGTTTCACACAAATGTATGCACAATACCTTAAAAAAGAAAGATAAGGTCATTGTTGTTGTGTTTTTTTTAACGGAATCCGTTTTACGTTGAAAAAAGCGCTAAAAACAAGTTTAAATTTTTTAAAGAATGCCCATAATATTAGGAATCCGAAATTACTACCTTGATCTAGTTTGCTGACTCTTTAATAACCATGAGCTGTTAAGAAAAAAAGAGAATGATATAGGATTTGTCTAAATATGACCATTAGTAAGATATTGCCCATTTTGTCCAATTATCCTTGCAGGTTTTAATCACCCTGTACTGCACCTCAATAAGCACAAAAAGAATATTTCTGTGACTTTGTATAAAGGTGTTTTGTAGTTGAGTTCTATGTAAAATTCTCAACAAAATAATGTACATTTGGACCGTACAACTGAGATAGACACTCATGCACACAATAACATTCACACATTACACATACACATACAAACACACTACTACATTTACTCTCTCTCTCTCTCACCACAACCACACACAAAACAAACACATACACACACACACACACACAACTCTTACACTTGGTCCACTTATTTAGAATCATCCTCTATTTTGAAATAATCCCCCGCACTAAATAAAAAGATCAGTAGAATCTCGACCTTCCGAATCCATGGTTAGTTCAAGAAATCTACCATATGATGTGGCCTAAATAAGGTAAGGGAGGGGGGTTTAGCTTATTTGGGCCACAGTGTGGCCTAAATAAGGTAAGGGAGGGGGGTTTAGCTTATTTAGGCCACACTGTGGCCCAAATAAGGTCACCCTTGTAATAATGACAAACTCATTTTGGTTAATGGGAAATAATCCCAAAAAGGATGCTATTTTTTGTTGCTGAAAATTTCAACTATGTCATCTCAAGTCTTAATACAGGGTTCCCGCGGCCTCCTTGAATTCAAGGAGTCCTTGAAAACTGCTTGAATTTGCATTCAAGGAAAAATGTCCTTCAAAACTGCTTGAATTTGCATTCAAAGAAAAATCTCCTTGAAAACTCCTTGAATTTTGCCAGATCGGACAGGAACACGTGTACAGGGTGACTGCCAGGCCCCGGGAATCCCGGGGGCCTCTGGAATTACCCGGTCATTTGATAAAAATCGCCGAGACCCGGAATGCAAAGGGAATTTGAAAAAATCTGTAAATTGCCCCATGAAAGACCCAGGAAAATACATAAACGTTCTCGAATATTTGAAAACCAAATCCGATAACGTCCTTGAGTTCATTTTTGCCGGTCGCGATTGTGATATAAAATTCATTCAGCCTTTCCCGGTCCGAGAGTACGTTACCCGCGCACAGGCGGTTATGGCGGCAACAAGTGGAAGTGTATGTGCGATACCGAAGCTCGATCTGGAAAAATCAAGATCTACTTTCGCTTTCGTTACCACCTAGAAATTTGCCGGTAGGACCTATAGTAGTCTGATAGCGCCACATTTCTAACATGCAGGTTCTGCATTACAAACGCTGTGTCGCCATGAAAATAAATAGTTTGTCCTGTGCTGTCACTTGTGGAAAAAAAAAGAAAGTGAAACAAGCTTCTTGTCGGGCTCGCCATCGTGACCGGTCATTGAACCTGTGCATTTTCGTCACATCGTGAGTATCGCGATGGTTGAGGTCACCAAAGTGCATGCAAAGTCTGAGCGCTGCGAAGTATAGGACTCGGGAATGGGGGGGTTATTGATTTTTTAAAATAGACGCACGCGGGGGAAGTGGGGGGGGGGGGGGGGGGGGGGTGAAGGCAACACCGGATGACAAAAACTAAACTTGGAAGTAGATTTTACTTTTCAGAATTTTGATTATTACTAGATCTATCTAGATCTCAAGCTCTCTGCAATGCGCGCGTTGGTGCAGGCCTTGTATGGAATCGGGATCTGTCATACTCAAACCTTGTAAGCCGTGTGTTTGTAACTAAAGGGTTCCCGTTTCATTGGGTAGGTGATAGTAAATTATATTATAATGTACAGAAGTCTCCGCCTAAGATCCCACCGCTTACGATCCCGGTTCGCTTAAGATCCCGCTGTTTTAAGAAAACAGAATTTTTACTATACAAAAGTCACCCCTAAGATCCCGCTCTGATTCACTCTTAAAAAGGTCTACATTATGATTCAACTAAGATCCCACATTTCAGATTATAATTTGCGGAACAAAAACTCGGGCGGGCACAGCCGATCAACCAAGGGGGAAAAGTTGAGATCAATAAACTGTCCGTCGCGTCAATGATCAGCCACTATCGTGAATGTGATCACATACACGTTGTAAAACTCGATGAAGCGATGCAATGTTTGCCCCAGACGGGATCACACCGAGGTGTGAACTGACCGACGCGTTTGTTTTCCCCACGTATCGCACTCACACCTGAGCTCGCCACCTAAACTTACATCACTCGCTGGGTGGGTAGAGTCTATACGTTCGCTCCAGGCGGGATCACATCGAATCGTGAACTCTACCCCGACCATTGCAGCAGTTGTCTCTACTCCCGAATTTGCGAGACAGACTGAATTTTAATTGGTGTGTTCACAACGTAATGGTGTGTAACGACAAAGGCGGTTGGGGGGGGGGGACTCGGTCAGAGATGGCAAGCTATAAATTTTCGACAGGTAAAGGGGAGGGGCAGCTGGATAAGCGTAGATCTTGAGACTCATGATAGGATAATTCGTGAAAATGGCACGCCTCATCCCACTATGCGCTGAGATAGGTCATCAAGGTTAACCACTCTTTGCTCGCCATACGTCATAAACCCACCAAGCGGTCACGTCAGTTCATTTTAGAGTGGAGGGAGACCATTTTACCGATTGTGAGCCTTAACATGGGTCACCATAGATTCTTCCCTGGGTTCGTCGGTTAAGATCCCGCATTTCTTGGCTCCCGAGCACCGGGATCTTAGGCGGAGTCTACTGTATTGTATTCTATATAGCTTTCTGTTCCAAGATTTGCAGATTTTCAGAGTCACTGCGTCTTGCCCTCCCACAGTTTTTACACCTCTCACACTGAATAGGTCTACTTGAGACATTCATGTTATTACTCTATTTTTAGTTAGAGTAATAATTTTTATCTTTTACGTTTATTGTATAAACCTTGACACCCCAACTGGTTCTTGACAGTGGATATTCTGGTTCTAGGCCTTTTCTCAGGCTCAAAGCAAGATTCATTTTTATATAGTTTATATAGGAGAATATGATGAGGGGAAAATATAAATAAGTAAGAACTGACTGAAATACCTAAGTCACAGTATCCCAGTGCCACACTGACATGTTGCTGACTGGAATGTACCTACATGCGTGGGTGCGCACCATTCTGTGTATATATTAATAAATAATATATAAATGAAGCATGCACTGTCATTGTTATGTAACATGCCCCTGGAGAATGGATGAGCTCCCCCCCCCCCCCCAACCGGAAAATTGAGAAGCCGGGTTGGCAGTCACCCTGCGAACAGTTTTTGTAGGGAAATGGAAACTATGATATATGATTCTTTTCGGACAAGTGTAGACCTTCGAAAATAGGCTTTTGTCATGAATTTCTTGACCAAATCTCCTTGAATTTTAAAAATTTCTCCTTGAAACCTCCTTGAAATCTCCTTGAATTTGGTGGGAAGTTCATGGCAGGAACCCTGTTAATATGAATATGCTTGAATTTGTACATTATGAACTTTGAATATAATATTGTAGTATTGTGATGTGTTATCTTTCTGTCTGCCTCTATTTTTCTCAGGGTGTTCCCTAAATACTAAAGCTAGATTTGTGTCAAAGGAACACCCGCCAATGAATTTAATGGGAACCTAACTAATAGCTGTTTTGTCAATTTGACCCCTTTCGATGGTGACTATTATTTATTGTCTTTTTTACTTTCACCCTGAGCATCAGTGTTATTCTCTGTTCTTTTTCACAATGGGAGCAGTGCTATGTAAAAAAGTACCCATGCATTTTCTGGATTAGTCTCTACCGGTGTCTTTATTGTCACTCCAGGAAAAGGATTTATGATTAGTATGACTTATTCAAATACAACCATCGTTTCCACTGCCTCCTTAATTAAAGTTCATAAATAATGTTTTCTGCTTTATAAGTCTCTTGGTAAATGTAAATTATGACTCCTATGTCCTTACATTGATCACGGCCCACTGTGTTTTGTCCCTGTAAAACATAGCTGCTACCCAATGGTGACCTTAGATGTTAAGCCATAGGTCAAGCCATCATCAAAAAGGAAAGGGGTGCTATGCTTTACTCCTTTCAGTCTTTTATCAAGAAGCATTTTTTTTTTCTTTTCAAAATGGATAGGCTTCTTCTTTATCGTTGTCACTTTTGCTATTTTTATAAATGTTGTTGAGCTGTTAGACATTCTGTGTGAGGATTTATTTATCTCGGAAATGCTTTTTTTTTGTCCAGGAGACTGATTATAACCTGGCCTACTTTGACAATGGAGAGGGTTATGGAGATGACGATGAGGATGATGATGAAGGCCCAACCTACTGAAAAGGTGAATGTGATACATCAGATCCTTAACAAGCCAAGGAGATAGCAGAAGAAATGTTTTCCATAGTCATGTACGAATGATTGTTTCATTTGTTGGTGAAAATTCAAAGAAAACAATGTGTATTTTTCTTTTAGAAGTTTAAGGCATTAGAAAACAGTCATTGAATATTAACTTCCTCTCATAAAAATAGCTGTTGTTTTTTTTTTCTTTTTCTTCATGTGCACAACAGTGGAGTCTGCTTAAACCAGACATGGTTAACAGAAAATAACGCTAAACCGAAAGATAATAAAAAAATTTTTTTTTTTTCTCTATTTGAGCCACCTCTTTAAGCCGAAAACCCAGCTAAACCAAAGAAAATTTGGTAGTACCGCAGATTTCGGCCTAAGCAGATTACATTGTAGATTGATGATCATGCCTTGTGATTATTATGACAGCGTGGTTCTGTTATGATATGGATTTGTTGTTGTTGAACTTGACACTGAATAGATTTGTAGGGAGACATGCACAGTCAGTTGTGATGGTTTTTGAAATGTCGTTGCCAGGGTGGTTATTGGGATAGATGGGTTGGAGAAATGTGACACGTCTGTTACTTTAACCCGGCCGTATGAGAGATTTTCTGTCTGATGCGACATCTAGTCATTGAACAGGACATTACAAGATAAAGGATCTGTAACGTTAATGTAACAGAGTTCATTTGTCTCTGATCAAGCACGCAAACCTTATTAAATTAGGCTCATGACTGTACTTTTGTACATAACATTAACAAAAATATGTAAAAAATAAATGGGTTTTTTTTGTTGTTGTTGTTGCTTCCCTTGTAAACTCAACTCTTGCTGTTGCTTCTCTTTGTTATCTCGCGTACCAATAATGTGCACCATTTTGGATTTATAAAAGCTCTTAGTCTGATCGACAAGGGTGTCCCCTTTGTCACATGCCCTGTTTAAAAATGTTTTTCTTGTGATAGTGGTATGATATCCAGACAAGTTCTAACTGCTTTCACAGTTTTACACAAGCATGTCTAGACCATTACAGGTTTTTCGTTTAGCCTTCCTTTCACTGTTAAAAGGTTTTACAAAGCAGAGCAGGTGTTCTTGGGAAGTAGGCGTGTCCTTTGTCTTAGATATTCAAACGGTTGTTAAACATTTGTCATATAAAATCTCGAATGTAAGAAGTACATATTGTTATGCAGGGTTTGTTAGGGCAAAGATTAGTGAATGTACCTGCAGATTGAGGGCGGTGCAAATGCCAGTCAATGATAATGGATCTTATCAGAGGTCATGAACGTTGTAAAAATATATTATGGTCTGACAATTGCTTTCAATTGTTATTGAGAACATAATGATGATTGATCACATGTTTGAACATTATCATTATCACTCTGGGAGTGCACAATATCTTTACAGCTATGGTATGCAAAATATCAAAATATGACATGAATAAATGTTGTCTGTCTGTCTGTCTGTCTCTTTCTCCCCTCTTCTCTCTCTCTCTCTGTGAGTGGTTGGCGGGTGCTCTGGTGTGGTTTGCTGCTTCTTCTTTCCCATCAAACATCTATTGTCCTTATCTCCCCTCCTTTTTTATGTTTGTTACTCTCTTTTAACACCTCTAATCTTCTGGCACTCATATGACCTTATGCAGTTGCGAGTGTCATAAAACCTCTACCAAAACAAACTCTCTCTCTCTCTCCCTCCCTCCCTCTCTCGAAACAAATCTCTCTCTCTCTCTCTCCCTCCCTCCCTCCCTCCCTCTCCCTCTCTCTCTTTCTCTCTCTCTCTCTCTCCTTCGCTTCCTCTCCCTCTCTCTCTCTCTCTCTCTCTCTCTCTCTCTCTCTCTCTCTCTCTCTCTCTCTCTCTCAACAACCCCCCTCCCCAAACGCACATATTCTCTGATATTGTCTTTGTGTTCATTTATATGATAACGGCCTTGTGTTAGTCGACTCCTCTGGGACTTCAGTTGATCATTAATGATTAATGATGATGTGAACATGTTTGTAGTTTTTCTTGTCTTTTTTTTAAAAGTGAGAAGTGAAGAAAAAGGATGAAAATGAAATCTGCACAGGCTTTGTGATGATCGTGGTGAAGGTGGAGCCTCTTGAATGTCAAGTGTGTGGAATTGCTAGCATTTTGTACCTCTGTTGTTAGGATGCTTTTAGATGCTACCTTTGTTTTATATCTTTGCTGTATCAGTTGTTGTTTTTTTTCTTTGTGTGTCATGAGTACTTGATTATTTCATGTGTGTGCATGTTGATATGCTTTTGTGTGTGTGTATACATGATAATGTATGCTTGTGAGTGTATGTGCATGCGTGTGCGGGTGCAATGCAAACGTTTGTATATGATTTTTCTTTGTTACGTGTTTTAAAACATCCAGTTTTTATGCAATTTGAATCCTCAAAACCCAGAGGTGGAAAGTCAGCATTGAAAACGTCTTTGTTTTCTGTTACTGTACAATTACTGATACAGAGATGCCTGGTATAAATATGTTATGTTTCATTGATTGTTCATATGAAATATATACTTACACACCTGTATGATCACTGGAATCGGAAAACCCAGCTCAGGAGGGCTTGGGTTTGTGACTCGAAGTTGATAATTTATTTATTGTTATTTGATTATTGACAGATATGATTTGTTGGAAAATAAATGTTTTTTAACGTAACTCTTTGTATTTGTGCATTTGAATTAATTTGGATTTTTATTCTTTATTTTTAGATATTTTTACAAATGTATTGATTTTTTAATAAAACTCCTTGAATAATTAACAGTGAGAATGTCTGGATTAGTTTGGTAAAGAACGTACCCTGTCCTTGTTCCGTTACACTTGCTCTCGCAGCAGTCTCCTTGTCAAGCCAGTTGTTTGTAAAAGTTGACATCTTTCACACATTAGTTTCTTTCTTAGTGACTAGCTGATAGGAATAGATTTAGTATTTTTCATATATAAGCAAACAATGGCAACAAAAATAGAAGTCACAAGAGGAAGTAAAGAGTAGAAAAAAATGCACAAGACAATGGAAAATTTCCGCATCAAGCTGAGTAGCATCCATAGAAGGGGGAAAAATCAAGGACTGCTTTTGCTGTTGTAACGAGTCAGAATTCTAAGATGACGATTCTGAGAATACAAGTATACATGTACATGAGATATATTCGATTGATATATACTTACATGTCGTTCACTTTCGCCTGTCCGTAGTTAAAACAGGAATTAAAAAATTGCTCTGTTTAATCTTCTCAGGTCTTCATGTAGTTGTAGATCTAGAAGTTTGAAGACCAACAAAATCTAAAAGCCCATTTATGAAGGTCACAGCAAACTAAGGTTCCGGCATGTTTCCTTTAATGTTAGCGTAACAAAAAAATAATTGGGGATTTGCAACATGCACCTAAAACATTAAAAGGTTGACCTATTGAATTTTTATTAAACACCACACTTTAATGCATGCCTGTGAAACGCGGCTGTCTAAAAAAAAGCAATTTTTAAGCAAGATTACTGTGAATTGTTGTAATCCTGTATATTAAGCACCCAAAGGGCGGATTTTGATATCGCCCCCCCCCCCCCAAAAAAAAACCCCAACAACAAACAAACTGTTCAATTAGAATCTACTGGATCAAGATATACAGTGGAAACCATATATAACAGGCCCGGTAATAACAGGGATCCGGTAATAACAGGGATGTTTAAAATCCCCGTTTTTTCCTACTCTTTGTATCTATTAAAAGTTATCGGCAATAACAGGGCCTCATCGGACCCCAACCGGTTATAGCAGGGACAAAGGCTCGTTAACAATGTGTAAAAAGTAAGAGAGAGAGAGAGAGACCGGTCGGCCTAGATCTAAGCCTACTTCTTTCATTATGGTCACCAATGATGTCAAGCGCAAGAGAAAATGCCTTTCAATTGACAAAAAATACGAAATAATCCAGACTGTTGACAAAAGCAAGCTCCACGGGCAGAGATTTGTCGTCAGTTCGCCATTCCACAAGGGTCGATTGCCACCATTATCAAGGATAGAGAGAAGATGGTGGCAGCATACTCCAATGAAAAGTTTGCACTGGATCGAAAGAAGATGAGACTACCCGATGTAGATGCCGTGGACCAAGCTCTTCTGATGTGGTTTAAATTTAAGGACGCAAGGAGAAATTCGGTGCCAAAACCCACGTTCGTGGGTACTTGTAGCTAGGGAAACTACCTATGAATAAGTACAGCTAGATTAGTCCACAAATGCTCACTTTCCTTGCATTTCGGATTTAACAGGGATCGGATATAACAGGACTTTTTTTCTACTCCCACCATCCCTGTTATATCAGGTTTCCACTGTATATTTAAAAAAATTATATTTTGTTGCTGGCCTTTACGAGTTCCATGCAAAATTATAATGTGCGCATTGGCAAACAAACATTAGCCAGAATTTTGACAATGCGGAGAGACGAACGTGAACAAGCTATAGTTTAGGCAAAGAACGAGGCTTGTATGTTAAATATGGACGCACTTACGCTGTGATAAATGAGGAAATTCGACATTCTCAGTTCTGGGTGGGTTAATTTACCATCTTAATAAAACGGAGGTTTACCCATGTTCTGATTTGTCGATCAATGAAACTGTTCTTTCATACCGCACGTTTCCGTAAGGCGATTCTGCGGGGTCATGACCCGGTGTGAGTAGATCACCTGTCAACGACACTTCATTTACGCTCGGCTCTTAAGATATTCAGTGCGTCAGCGTGCTCTCGTGGTCTTGAGGTTACCCTGTGTGCCTCTTTCAGTAAGTCCCGGGTTCGAAACCTGAACTTTCTCCTTTCAACTCTTTTCCAGCTCTATAATTTAACTATAAACCCCATAAACATAATCTGCCGCCTCCTTTACCTTTCATCTCCACTTTCTGCTCCTTCCCCTGGGCTCCTGGTTCTTTCTGCACAGCCTTTCTACTTCTACTGCTACTCCTTTGCTCCTTCTTACTGCTGTCTTTCAGCCACACTCCTGATCTTAAGATCGACCTCCTAGCCTTCGCCTTCTCGGAAATAGGCTAAAAATGTCGCTGTATGCAAGTTGCGCACGTGAAAGATACCTTGGTGGTAGTCCTAAAATCGATATGAGTAGGCTTCGGCCGCCACAAGCGCGAAATTCAAAATTTCTACCGAACTGAAAATGTTTAATGTATCCCGCGCGCTCGTTTGAGTTTTACCCTATTATGCAGTTGTGCGCACCGAATGTAAAACTAAAACACTAGTACGTCTCAGCGTATTTTGATAGTGAAGCACAAGACTTTAAAGTTTATACAAACAGAAGAAAATAATTGAAGCAACACGAAAGGATAAGTATAACCAACAAAATATCACATCTGGTTGGAGTAACTTCATGTACTGCGCGCATGTATCTAAGCTCACAATTGTTTATCAATGGCAAGATACAGGAATACATCATGTACATGTATAAATGAACTGCCCCCCTTTTTTTCTTTCTTTCTTTTTTTTTTTTGGGGGGGGGGGGGGGGGGTCTCTTTTCTCCGGGCGAGTTGGTGCCCCCCCCCCCCCTGAAGCGGCAAGATCCGGACTAGACAGCTCTGCAGGGTGAGAAATCACGCCTAGAGTCCCCGGGGTGTGTTTTTTTTTTTTGGGGGGGGGGGGGGGGGCGGGGCGTTGTCCCATGCTGCGATATTGCATCTTTCCTAAGGTGAAGCTAGCTTACGTCGTATGTAAAGTTGAAACATATTGACCATAATATTGTTGTAAGTGTGCACAAAGTTTTTCCTTGCTCATGGAACTCATGGACTATGCCTTGCCACTCCCAGAAA